TAGATGTTCATTGAAATGAAAAATAAACAAACTAAATTAATAAAAATAAAAAAAAATTGGCTCTTCTTGCCATTATTTTAAGAAATAACTTATCTTTTTTCACCTGAATTTCTTAGACTCATGTCTTTTTAGAAAAGTTTTCAGCAGAGCTTAGATTTACCCTTCTTCCTCTCTCTGGATTCTTCTGCAGCGCATCCTTGCGTGCCAAAAAGCTGGTTCCATAATGCGAGAAGGAAGAGACAGAGTTGTGAATCTTGCCATCGACAAGACCGGCAGAATTCTTGCTTGCCATGTGAGTAATTAGACTTAGAAAATACAAGGATTAGGGTGCTCTTTCATATACTAATTTTGGTTTCATATGCAGTGAAGCAATCTTTCTTCCCCCTCTTTGATCCTGTTATTCATTAACTAGTACTAAGTGAGTTTGTAATACCAACCTTCTTAATTACTATTATTCCCACTATTAGCAGCTATTTAATTTCTAAGTAGTACAAAAAACTTTTCACATCCTGTGTAACGTCCTAAGCAATGTTGTAGCAGGCTATGATAATCCACATTTATAGCTGCAAACACAACCTCAGGTTTTAAGGTCTGCAGCAGTACTGCCAGAAGAGGGGGATTAGGGGTGGGGAAAACAAACATTCTTGTAGTTCATACTGAGAATAAGCAAAAAAAGAAAGATTTCTTATCATGGGCTCATATCAATCTTTTGCCTTTCTAGGGAACTGATTCTGTGCTAGAAGTGTTTTGTATTCTTTCCAAAGAGGAAATTCAGAAGAAGAGGGATAAGAAGATGAAAAAAGCGAGAAAGAAAGCAAAGTACGTTTCTTACTTATGAAGTATAATGGGTGGGACACATTTTATTGATAGAAAAACTGGCTTTTTTAAGGAAATATTTACTCTTACTAGCAACTATTGTTAAAACATCAGAAAAATATGTGGTGTTTTCATTTCTACTCTTTAATACATCTTTACGACTGATGCTGTTGTGAGTCATATGTCAAAGTTTAAAACACTTGACTGCCAATCACAAGATTGACAGTTTGAACCCACCAGCCATTCTGCAGTTAGTTGGCTTCTGTAAATATTTATAGGTTTGAAATTCTCTTGGGCAGTTATACTCTGACTTGTAGGGTCACTGGGAGTTGAAATTGGCTGTAGGTAGTCATTCCTTGTTAAAGCCCCACAGGACTAGAGAAATGATATTAATGTCAAAAGAAACAGTAATAGCAATAGGAAAAAACCCCACAAACTTCTAAGCTACTTAGCGATCCAGGTGGCAATGAATTATTAAAAGCAGCAACCTTTAAAAGTAAAGAAGTTAAGCAGGGTTGCATAATGCTAACCTTTTGAACCATGAGAAGACTGGATGGACACATAGAGTTGATATTTGGGGGCAGTATAACTTTGAAATAAGGCATTCTAACCAGACCATTTCTCAATTGTTGAAATTTTAAACATATCTCAAATTTTTAAAAGGTTATCATTTGACAATTTTTGAGACTTACTGTGATTTATTTCAAAATCTAGTAACATGATTGCATTTTTATGTGCATTCTTTGGTATTTTTTTAATATAATTTTAATGAGCATTTACAGAGATTTTGGATTTCCATTCATTCATTGCTGCACTTCTCTCCCTCCCCCCAATCCTCCCTCCCCCCCCAAGTTCACTCCTCTCTTTCAAAAGTAAAACACTCCTTACCTGGTACACAATCCCCCCGCACCCCTCCCACCGCCCCACGTACATTTCACTATGCAACCTTAATTATGGACTCTTGTGATAACCATAATACCCTATCATACATTGCTTTTAAATTATTCACTCCCTCATCTGTTTCAGTGCAGTATACACAATTTATCCAATTTTTCTCAGTCTTACCCCAACCCTGATATCAATCCCATTTTTTAAAATATATAAATATTAAGTTTACTGGAGGTGTTTTAATGAAATAATTTTAACTACAAAGACTAATCCCAAGAAAGCTTTATGGTTAGTATATTCAGAATCCATTTATGGAGAGTACTCTTGAATGTAGAAAAAAATAATATGTGTGTGTGTGTGTATGTATTTCACTATATAATATTTCTATATGCCCAGCAGTATTTCATTCTCTTAGTAACTCTTTGGGCTAATTTAGTTTCCTAGGATAATACAGTCTGTCTCACATAATATTATTGGTCTCACAGAATATGAACTCATGTTAGCAAAGCTGCTTTTATAAAAGTAATATGATGCTCTTTATCTCTCCAATCCCATCCCATGCTACCTCAGATTAAATTCCAGCAAAGGTGAGGAGGAAGACCTTGAAATCAGTGTGGAAATGAGTCTGCAAGATGAAATCCAACGAGTGACTAAGATCAAAACTTCTGCCAAAATCAAGTGAGTAAAACACAGAACATAGTTTTTGGAGTCATTTTAAAGTGTTTGGGGGGAGCTTTTTCCGAATACTTGTAGCTGCTTGTATGAATTTTATTTTGGAAATGGGAATCTGAGACTATATGCTACCCACTATACCTGCTTTGCAGTGCCCTCAGTCCATAGGAAGTTGAAGCAAGTACAGGCAAATGCAAAGAGTGATGTGATTATGATACTGTAGTTGTTGCTCTCATTCTAATAAAGATTTTTCTAGACTACCAATCCCCCTCATTAATCCTCTTCATATTTGGTTTATTTTAATACCTTTTTTAGTACCAAAAGTTTTTTTTATTTTACTCTTCAAACAAGCAGCTATTTACGTTTCCCCATAGTAATTACGATTAACTTTAAAAAATTGCATTTACAATTTTATCTTCTAAACATTTCCCTTGAACAGGAAACTTAGCATTACAGAATCACAAGATTAGAACTTTTGTAAAAAGTCAATTTTGTTGCTTTTGTAAAGCAAAACAGAAACTGGTATTAAATCAAGGCAATTCACTCATGCCTCAGGTCCTTCTCCAGTAACCACCACTGTTACATTAACTTCCATTGAGCAAAATATTATCTAATTTAGCAATTCTTCCTCCTTCTGGTGTGATTTCAAACTCAGTGACATCTTCCAATATATTGACAAAGTCATGAAACCTAGAAGCGTACAGTTTCCTTAATGATTCCTCCCTTCAATATGAGTTCTCGGTCCTCTACATTTGTTCACAAGTTTTAGCTGTAGTGGTTAGGAAAGCATTAGCTAACCCACGACTTTTCACTATTCATTAACTCTTTACCCTGCTGTCAGTGTCTATATCCATGCTCAAGAAGAATTCAAGGTCACTTACAAGAAATACACAGATAAAAACCAATCTTTGTTAGAATGAGAGCAACAACTACAGTATCATAATCACATCACTCTTTGCATTTGCCTGTACTTGCTTCAACTTACTATGGATTGAGGGTACTGCAAAGCAGTCTTCCTCTGTGAGCAGAAATGGTGGCATGAACATTTGATGTGTATGTTTTCCTCACACAGGTCCTTTGACTTGATTCATTCACCTCAAGGAGACTTAAAAGCTGTCTTCTTGCTGCAAAACAACCTTGTGGAATTGTATTCACTGAATCCGTCTGCACCTGCCCCTCAGCCTGTCAGGACAAGCAGAATCACCATTGGGGGTCACCGCAGTGATGTGCGGACTTTGTCATTCAGCTCCGATAATATTGCTGTCCTTTCAGCAGCAGCTGATTCTGTTAAGATATGGAACAGGTTTGTGAAATAATGTTTCCTGTACCTTTATCCAGTAGTACTTCCTTTTTCTTTTGATGGCCAGTTCTTAGCTTTCTAAGACCCTAAATGTAATTCTATCAAAAATGTGTCTTCGGTATATTTAGGATCAAACTAAGCTTGTAGATCTTAAGGTAAGAAAATTTCCTTTTATAAATTCAGTGCGAAAAATAAAAAATCTATCCTGTGTCTGGAGCTTGTAGCTGTTTTTGGTTAGAGGGAAATAAAACCATACTACCCACTTTTTAAATTCAGATTAAATACTAGCTGCTGTCCAGAATTCTATGCACTCCCATCATATATATAAGGAACTCGGATGTTTTCCATAGGGAATTGTGCTGTGAACCCAAACCCTTGCCTCTCTGCCTGTTCAGATCTACCAGCAGCTCTGCAAGAGAAATTGGGCTGTCTCATCCTCTGCAGTTACAGCCTCAGAAACGGTCAGCTTTGAAGTGGTTCCTAGTACACAGCAGTTAGTTTAGTTGAGTTGATCATGTCTATACTCATATAATATGTTTTTCTGCCTGTTATATACTCCTTTTTTTATTATAACAAAATGCACAGAGATGGAGTTAGAAAACCAGAAGAGAAGAGCACACAAAGCACTTAATCATGAAAGAACTGAATAAAAAAAATTAAGTTTCAGTTGAGAAACTGAAGGATTCTATGAGTAAAATCTTTAATTACCCAGGAAGCATCAAGAGAAGAGAGAAGGAATACCAAAAAGAGTTGGTTGACACTGAGCCATTTCAGGTGGTAACATATGATCAAGAACAAATAGCAATGAAGAAGGAGGTTCAAGCGGCATTGAAGGCATTGTCAAAAAACAAGGCCACAGGAGTTGATGGAAAACCAATAGTTATGTTTCAACAAACAGATGTAGCCCAAAGGCACTCTCCAGTCTATTCCAAGAAATTTGGAAGATAGCTACCTAGCTGACTCACCAGAAGAGATCTGTATTTGTCCCCTTTATAAAACAATGTGATCCAATAGAATGTTATCTCTGAACAAAGCCATTAATAAACACATGCAAGTTAAATCTTGCTGAAGTTTATGAAAACCTGACTGGAACAGTGTATCAGGAGGGAGGGACCTGCCAGAAATTCAACCTGGATTCAGAAGAAGCCCTGCATAAGGGATATCATTGCTGATATCAGATCAGTCTTGGCTGAAAGCAGAGAATACTAGAAAGATGTTTGTTGTTGTTCATTGCCATCAAGTCAAGCACAACTCATAACGACCTTATGAACAAAAGACCTGAAGCCTTTCTAGAACTGTAGTCATTTTTCAAAGTTTAATAGAGTTTCCAGAGGCATGTTTAGGAAGTGGATGCCACTCCTTCTTTATTTGTACTTTATTGACTATGCAAAGGCATGTGTGTGGGTGATAACAAATTATGTCCAGTGCTGAGAAGAATGGGAATACCAGAACAACTAGTTGTGTTCAAGTGAATTCCTAGACTGGAGTGAGCCGTCAATAAATATTAAATGAAGTAGGCATTTAATATATACTTCTTGAAAGGGTGAATGTCTGTTGTCCTATGAAATGAGCTTTCCTTGTGTGAATATGCTAATTTGACTTGGAATCCCTTGACTCCTTTCTGGAGAAGGGCAGGTGGATTCTGCTGAGCTGGTTCTCTGCCCTGTTTCTGTGGATAATGTCCATACTTTAGGACTAGGAAGCCTTTGCAAAAATTAATGTAAGACTTCTCTCTTCTCTAATGTTGATCACTCTGTTTGCCTGAATGTGTATTGAAACATAATCACTTAGCCCTAAGGTGAGGAAACATGTTCTCTTAACATTTGAATGTTTTACTCTTTTTCACAGATCTACACTACAGTGTATTCGCACAATGACCTGTGAATATGCTCTTTGCTCGTTTTTTGTACCTGGTGATCGTCAGGTAGTCATTGGAACAAAGGTAAGCTGAAATTTGTTCTTGGATTTCTAAGACTTTTCTGCTAGATATTCTTAAAGGTGTTGGAGAAATCTGCCTCTTTTCTTAATGGTTTCTTTATTTGTTTTGGAGAGCTTTTGTGCCTTAGTGTGTAGGGAGTTGTGTTGTTAAACCAAATGCCTCCCATGTCCAGAAGTTCAAATCCACCAGTGGCTTTGTGGAAGAAAGTCTCTTTCCATGTGGTTTACAGCCTTGGAAACTCAATGGAGTGTCAGTTCCTAATCCACAGCAATGAAAAAGAACAAAACAGAGACATATGCTTTAAAAAAATATCAAACCATATTAATGTTAAAAGAAAAGAAATAAAAACATATCCCTAAGACAACTATGCAAAGGCATTGGACTGTGTGGCTCATAATAAATTATGGCTCATATTGAGAAGAATGGGAATCCCAAAACACTTATTTGTGTTCAATACGGAATCTATACTTAGACCAAGAAGCTGTGATGGGAATAGAGCAAAGCAAAGGAACACTGCACGATTTAACATCAGGAAGGGTATATGTCAGGGTTATATCCCTTTTCCATATCTGTTCATTCTGTATGCTAAACAAATAATTTGCAAAGCCAGACTCTTTAAAAAAAAAGAGTGTAGCATTAGGATTGGAGGAAGACTCATAACATGCTGATCACACCACTTTGCTTGCTGAAAGTGAGGAGGACATGAAAAGTTTGCTGCAGAAAACATTGACTACAGCCGCTATACGGATTACATCTCAACATCAAAAAGAGAAAGGTCCTTACCACAGGACCAATAGTCAACAATATGATGAATGGAGAAAAGATTAAACTTGTCAGTTATTTCATCTTGATTGGATCAAGAGTCAACACCCTTGGTACCAGCAGTCAAGAAATCAAGAGACGTATTACATTGGGCAAGTACCTTGTCAGAGACCTCTCCAAAATGCTGGAGTAATGATAGGAATTTGAAGACAAAGGTGCGCCTGATTCAGGCCACAGTCTTCTCAGTCACATGCTAGGCATCAGACAGTGGACAGTGAAGAAGGCAGAAGATGACAGAAGAAGAATTATTGATTCCTTTTGAGCTGTGGTGCTAGAGAAGAGTACTAAATATCCCCTGGACTGCCAAAAGAACAAACAGAAAGGGTGTGGCCAGGGTGCTCCTTGGAGGCATGGATGATGAAGCTTCATCTTTCGTACTTTGGACACATAGCTAGGTGAGGCTGTTCCTTGGAAAGGGACATCATACTTGGAAAAACGGAGGGTCAGCAAAGGAGAGGAAGACCCCCCCCCCGCAACGAGGTGGATGGACATTGACTTCGGCATTGAGCTCTAGTATCTCAGAGATTATGAAAACGGCACAGGTTAGGGCAGGTTTCAGGTTGCCTGTTCATACCATCACTGTGAGAAGTATCCGATGGCAGCTGACAACCACAACATAACTTCTGTTAATATTCTTTCATGCATATTTTTATAAACACATATATAATTATATTTCAGGTAGGTTAATGATAAAGTGTCTTAAGTACCTTGCAGCTTCATACTTGGCATATGCAAAAATTACACTGGCACCAAGTTGGTTCTGATTAATAATAATGAACCTCCATGAGGTTTCTTAGGCTGAGTATTACAATGGACCAGGTAGGGCTTCAAACCCACTTGGAGGACTGTTTAAATGTCAGTTCACTCACGGTCACTGAATCATTTCCAACATAGTGGCCCTCTATTGGATTTCTGAGACTGTAAATTGCAATGGGAAAAAACTGCACATCTCCATGCAACCACTGGTGGATTTGAACTGCTGGAGATAAAAACACTTTGGTTTAACACAGCCAAGTATGGATGACTTCAGAGGCTTTTACATTTTCATTTGATATTGAGTTAATTCTTATTTGCCTGTGGCCATGACATCTCCTTTCCTTATTGTCTATCCAGAGTTCAGTAATAGACTACAACGTACTTGTGCACTGTGGCAGCCCTGCCAAAAATAATGCAACATGTCAGGAAGGAAGTTAACAGTATTGACTGGTATTTAGGGTTCTTGCCACTTGGTTATGCACTGTTTTCTCAGTTGTGTAGGCATGAATCTAAGATGCTGTTGCTCTACTCAATACAGATGTGCTCATTCGGTTTTTTGTCAGACAGGGAAGCTGCAGCTGTTTGACTTGGCCTCTGGAAATCTGCTGGAGACGCTAGATGCACATGATGGAGCTGTGTGGTCCCTGTCCCTCTCTCCAGATCAGGTAACAAAGATCTGCACTTCAGCACTCTTGCTGTGTTTCCCAGTTCTTACACCAAGGCTCTGTTGCTGCTTTAAAATGATTTCTCTCAGAATTTCATTTTTTGAAAGAAGGAAAAAACAAGCTTTTTTTTGTGTAATCTTTAGATATGAGGTGAGCTCATCTACCTAACATTGTAAATCGTTGCCATTATGAAAGGAATTGTTCAGCTGTTCTGGATCACTAGCTGCAAAACATCGAATTTCTTCTTCCACTTAAGTTTTTACTTTCCTCTTCTGGTGAGGGATACTGTTTAAGAGATTGAGATTGTTAACAGCTTCAGTTTGCTTGGCTCCACAATTAACGCTCTTGGTACCAGCACAGCCAGGAAATTAAAAGATGAACTGCATTGGGAAAGTCAGCTGTCAGAGACCTCTCCAAAGTACTGAGGAGCAATGATGTCAGTCTGGAGACTAAAGTGTGCCTGATACAGGCCATGGTCTTTGCAATTACTTGCTATGCATCAGAAAGCTGTATAATGACTAGGGATGATAGAAAGAGAATTGATGCCTCTGAGCTGTGGTGCTGGAAAAGAGTGTTGAATATACCATAGACTGCTAAGAGAACAAACTAGTTGTCCTGGCAAGGGTGAAGCCAGCATGTTCCTTGGGGTTAAGGATTCCAAAGGTTCATCTGACATACTTTGGACGTGTTTCAAAGTGGGATCAGCCCTTGGAGAGGGACATAATGCTTGGGAGGGTGGAGGGACAGTGCAAGAGAGGAAGACCCTTGATGAGATGGATTGATTCAGTGACTGGGGTAATGGGGTGTATCAGAGACAATAAAATTGGCACAGGATAGAGCAGGGTTAAGTCTATTGTACATAGGGTTGCTGTGAGTCAGGGGCAACTCGATGGTACATAACAATAACATTCTCTTGGGCAGCACAAAGCTGAGAGCAGAATAGACTATTCTTATTTTTCTCTTTATGTCTTGGTGTCAATGACTGTGTAAGACTGAAATTTTTGGCAAATGTGCCAGCTTTTAAAAATTGGTAAAAGTGCCTTCCCCTTAAAAGGAATTTCCCTTGGGAACTGTGAACCTACTTGTTTCAATGGTAATGTTGCTGCTCAGAACTTTTTCTTTCTGTTTTTTAAAAAGATTGTGGCCCATGTAGGTGAATATTTTCTCTGGTTGCATAACACTGATGACCAAACTAATTGAGCAAAGATAATTACTTTTTTGGGGGGGGGGAAATCTGGAACTTAGGGTGGGTAGTGAATGCCATTGGAGTCAAACTGTTAACTGAAAAGTATTTTCACATCCATGTCATTTATTATTTGTATAGCTGTTTTATAAACTGGGTAGTTTTTCTTTGTTTCCTATATTATATACCTATGTTGTAACCAAGCAGATAGCTGAAGTCTAGTTTTCTGACTCCGTATTTTAATTCTTCTATCTAACACAACAGTATATGGAGAACAATTTTTTTTGTGTGTGGTTAACAGTTTCAAACTTGTTTTAGGCAGTAACAACATTGTAGAAATAAATTTATATCTTCTATAGTGCATACTTTGAACAGATGTATTTCAAGTACCCAGTCTATGTATACTTGTTAAACTAGTTTTACTACTTCACAGAAAACTCTTGGCAGTTTTCTTCTTAGGTGGAACAGAAATCCAGTTTTCGTTAATATACTTTTTTCAGTAATGAACAAAGTATAATTAGAACTTCTCATTAGTTATCACCTATCTACCTTATAATCTACTGATAATTTTCATGTAACATCTGGGATAACAGTTCTAAATAATAATGGAGGGGTTATGGAGAAGCCATTTGTAAATTTTTTCCAAGATTAGTTACTTATATCTGTACCATCTAAGATAGTTTTTAATGAAATGTCATTTGATTTTCAGCGTGGCTTTGTAACAGGCAGTGCAGATAAATCTGTCAAATTCTGGGATTTTGAATTGGTGAAAGATGAAAATAGTACCCAGAAGAGGTAAGTGGACATTTTAATGCATGTCCATTTTGGGGAGTGAAATTAGGAAGCCACTGAACGTGGATTTTTTTTTCCCCAATTATACATCTCAGAGGACCCCTTTATAGGAATTTGAACTTGGGAGAGATTTTTTAAATTTTATTGTTTTTTAGATTGTGTAAGTGTGGAAAATATATTCAGCATAGCAGACAACAGTTCAGCAGTTTCATTTATGTTGATTTGTACATGTTCATTTATTTTGATTGCATTCTTTGTTAATTAATATAAACATGCTAACTCCTGTGGTTCTCATCTAACCTGTGTGACATTTGTCAGTTTGAACTCATATAAATAATTCTTTAAGAGAACAATATTCAACGCATACATTTTTAAGTACTAAGGCTAAACTGTTGTTTATTTTAGAGATGACTTCAGGGAATAGTTTCCATTCAAGGTTTAAAAATATGCTTAGATTAATAATTTGGTGGAATTATCAAGACTCAGTAACCGTAGAAAGTCTATAAATTCCTTGAGAACTTGAAATTCTCTTCTGTATTTCCCCCCAAGGAAATACTCTTTAAGTGGATGTTTTAAAAAGCTGGATTCAAGAATGTTTTTAGGATTGTCTGGGGAGTATTCATTCATTTTATCTTGATTTTTTTTCTGTGATGCTAGACTTTCTGTGACACAAACCCGAACTTTGCAACTGGATGAGGATGTCCTGTGCGTCAGTTACTCTCCCAATCAAAAACTGCTGGCTGTGTCCTTGCTGGACTGTACTGTGAAAATTTTCTATGTTGACACACTGAAGGTACAATGTTTACGCCTCAGAATATTTTCTTTCTTCCTGACTGACCTTAGAAATTTCAGATGAAACTATAAAGGAAGGATGTTGATACTACCCTACAGGTACATTTCTAAAAATCTGCATGTGAACCAAGCCATTGCATATGCTTTGGGGAAGTGCAAATTTTAAAAGAATCATGTGAGACATAAATTTTGTTAAGAACAAACTGTATTTCATATGTTCAGAATCATGTGGCCAGATGATCCTCTGGTAACTGTTGGCTTTTAAGAGCCATTGTTTTTTAGATACGCTGGAATTGATAGCACACGTCAGAGTCACATAGGTTGCTTTTGAAAATCTATATAATTGGGCCCTCTTGCCAGGCAGTCTGTACCATCACCCAGAGAGTAAGGCTAGTTTGACCTAGGAATGTTTGCCAAACAAATACCCAGCATGTTTTCGGCTGAAAGTTCCAGAAAAATCTCTCTCCAATAATCTCACCTAGGCAGTTGCCTTCCAGGAACATCCATAGATTGCATTTTTGGAAGGTGCTTACAGGATACATGCCGTAAGCACAAATACTTTTAACAAGCATATTCACTGATTTTAATGGTCTTTAAAAATATCCATGTAATCAAAACTTTTACACTAACATTTTAGACCCACATGTAGTAAGTTATGTCTATATCTTAATAACAAATGTGAATTAATATAGATCCTTTTTTTCCCCTTCAATGTTTAGTTTTTTCTCTCACTGTATGGACACAAACTGCCTGTTCTCTGCATGGACATCTCTTACGTAAGTAAAGTTTAGATGGTATTTCCGTAATAGGGAGTTCTCTAAAGCAGACACTCGGTTGTTGGATTGATATTTCTTATTTAGGGATAGCATTCTACTATATATCTGACTTTCTCCAGAAATAGTCATAAAGTAATATATAATCATATCTTAAATAAATAGGCTTGTGTTTTAAGAATACATTTACAAATATCTCAATTTTTGTAACTTACTCCCTTTTGTAGACTCCTCAAAAATGCTTTGTTTTTTAAAATACTGTATAATTAACAAAGTACATTGAAATATGAAAGACGTTATTAAGGCATCCTCCTTTATTGAAGATGGAACTGAGCTTTATATGTAAGGATGTATATTTTACACACTGCCTTTTAAAAGATCAGATTGTAAAATGTCTTTCCCATTGTGTGAACTATCATGAACTAGGCCCTGAAATACTAAAAAGAATAGAAATAATAATGGAACATAAGGTGATTGTTGTTATTAGGTGTTAGGTGATGGTATTAGGTTAAATCAAGTATGCCTCATAGTGACCCTACAAAGAATAGATCTGAACCCTGTCCTGTCCCATCTGCAAAATCTCTCACACACTTGTGCCCATTGCTGCAGTCACTATGTCAGTCCATCTCATTGAGAGTGTTCCTTTATTTCACTGACCCACCATCTTTCAAGCATGATGTTTGGAATAATAGGCTATGTCATAAACATTCTAGAAGTCTTTCACCAGGCTCATTTTTTTCCTTATTTCCAATACCTTCAAGTTTTAGAGATAATAGAAATTCTTTTTCCTGCCTATTTAACAAAGTAAATAATCTGCAAATCAAGGAATAAAGAATATCACTGCCGGGTGCAACCACTGTGGAAAGTGATGTGACACTTTCTCAAAATGTTGCAAATAGAGATACCATTTGACCCAGCAATTCCAGTACTGGGAATATACCCTAAAGAGACCATAACCAACATCCAAGCAGATATATGCACACCCACGTTTATTGCGGCTTTGTACACAGTAGCTAGGAGTTGGAAACAACCTAAGTGCCCATCAACAAATGAATGGATAGAGAAGCTGTGGTCTATTCATACAATGGAATACTATGCTGCATTGAAAAACAAGGAACTCATACAATATTATTCAAAATGGGTGACTGTGGAGGACGTTATGCTGAGTGAAATATCTCAGTCACACAAAGACAAATACTGCATAGTGCCACTGTTGTAGAATGGGATTGACATCAGGGTTGGGTTAAGACTGAGGAAAAACTGGATAAATTATGTATACTGCATTGAAACAGATGAGTGAGAGAACAGTTTTAAAAGCGATATATGATAGGGTATAATGGTTATCACAAGAGTCCAGAATGAAGGTTGCATTGTGGAGTGTACTGGGGCGGGGTGGGGCGAGGGGTGGAGGGTGGCGGATGGATTGTATACCAACGAAGGAATTCTTCTTTTACTTTTCAAAGAGAGGAGCAAACTTGGGGGGTGGGGGATGGGCAGGGAGAGAAGTGCAGCAATGAATGAATGGAAATCCAAAATCTCTGTAAATGTTCATTAAAATTAATTTTTAAAAAATTTAAAAAATAAAAGAACTGCCCTGTGACATTTCAAAAAATATTTAAGCCATGGAATTTTTGCTTTACTTGCCAACGTTTTGTATGAAAAACCCAAATAATCAGGTGCTGTGACTTTTTTTAAACTGATTTAGATGTTTGGGGGGACAAAATGAGTTAAGTGGTCAGTGTTTATTGACATTATGTTTCTCTCTTTGTTATAGGATGGGACTCTAATAGCAACTGGCTCTGCTGATAGGAATGAGAAAATCTGGGGCTTGGACTTTGGAGATTGCCACAAGTCTCTCTTTGCACATGATGACAGGTAAATGCAGGCTTTTCTTGGGATGTGTACATCATTTAGTGTTCTAATGATAACTGAGGAGGACCTGAAGTGCTTGCTTCAGAGGGTCAAGGACTGCAGCCTCCAATATGGATTGAGGCTCAATATCAGGAAGACAAAGTTTCTCATCACTGGGCCAATTGGCAGCATCAGGATGGATGGTGAAGAGATTGAGATTGTTCACAGCTTCAGTTTGCTCGGCTCCACAATCAACACTCTTGGCACCAACAGCCAGAAAATTAAAAGACATATTGCGATGGGAAAATCTGCTGTTAGGGACCTCTCTAAAGTACTCAAGAGCAACAGTGTGTCTCTAGAGACTAAGGTGCGTCTGGTACAGGCCATGGTCTTTGCAGTCACTTGTTATGTGTCAGAGCTGGACAATGACCAGGGAGGCCAAAAGGAGAATTGATGCTTTTGAGCTTTGGTGTTGGAGACAAGTGCTGAGGGTGCCATGGACTGCTAGGAAAACAAACAGATTCATCCCAGAGAGGATTAAACCAGGCTGCTCCTTGGAGGCAAGGATTCTGAGACTTCGTCTGACATACTTTGGTCATGTTGTAAGGAGAGACCAGTCCTTGGAGAAAGACATCATGCTTGGGAGGGTGGAGGGCAGGTGCAGGACGGGAAGGCCCTCTGGGAGATGCATTGATTCGGTGACTGGGGCAATCGGGATGAGTGTGTCAGAGACAGATTGGCACAGGACAGAGCAGAGTTTAGAGCTGTTGTACATAGGGTTGCTATGAGTCGCAAGCAACTCGACGGCACATAACAACAACAATGATAACTGGTGACCTAATGGCAAGAAACTGTGCTGCAATCCCAAAGGCATGCAGTTCAAATCTACCGGCTACACCATGGGTGAAGGTTGGGCAGTCTCCCATGTGATTAGCTGCCTCTCTAAACGCACCAGTGGGGCAGCTATGGGTCAGTTCTGACTCGACAGTACCCAACAACAACAATGTTGAATTGAAAGTTCTGTAAAGTAAATAATCTGATACTCTAAAACTAGCTGCTATACTAGAAATCCTTTTTATTAGCCTGAACTTTGATGACATTTGAATACTTGTTTTACTTTTTCAGTGTGATGTTCCTAAAGTTTGTACCGAAGTCTCACCTCTTCTTCACTGCTGGGAAAGACTGCAAGATCAAGCAGTGGGATGCAGACAAATTTGAACACATACAAACTCTGGAGGTAAACTCTTCACTGTTTTTGTTGGCCAGCACTCTGAAAGTACCTTTAGACCGGAGTATTGATTTCCCCAGAATATAGTTTGTGAAGTATTTTTGCGTAAGGTGGGTGGGTGTGTTTGTTTTTTTGCTTTTTTTTTGTTTTTTCTTTTAATTTTTGTGTTTTCTGTCTCTAGGGGCACCACCAGGAAATATGGTGCTTGGCTGTAAGCCCCAGTGGGGACTATGTTGTGTCATCATCCCACGACAAATCTCTGAGACTTTGGGAAAGAACAAGGGAGCCACTTATCCTTGAAGAAGAGAAAGAGATGGTAAGAATTAGACTTGGAGGAAGAGAAAGAGATGGTAAGAATTAGACTTGGGTGTAACTCTGCTCGCGAGTATTAGGCAGATGGTCCCTTCTGCAGTTTTCTGTCCAGTGCAGTCATGCCTCATGCATTTCCAGTTCAAGAACTTCCCTGATGTGTGCCTCTTGCATTTCAGAAGCCAGGCCAATACAAAGATTAGTGGATTATGTTTTGGAAGAAATACTGCTTCATTTGCACTTGACACAGGGACAAAAATGTTTGTCCCATAATAACTGTTACCTGTCTCTTCACAGCAAAGGGAAGCCGAATATGAGGAAAGTGTGGCAAAAGAAGACCAACCAGCAGTAAGTATATCGTTTGATAACTGAAATTTTACCTTTGGTTAGCTTACTGAAATTTACTATTTAAGATGGAATTAAAATTACAAGTAGATGCCAAAGCCATGAGTAG